TCTGCTTTCCTGAACAACAAAACTCTTAAATGACTCTGAGAAAGGGCCCGACTGTGATGAACTAATAAAGCATTCTTATCCCTGACACAGCTTCAATACCTAGGTCAAGTTTAAAGACATCTGTTTCTTCCAAAGCAGGCTTCCCTGCACAGTCAGATTTCCCTTCCCCTTTGTTTACCCACTACCAGCATATGTTGAGCACCTGCTATTTGCAGTGCCTTGAGGCTTAGCTGAGGTATGGGGTATAGAGCTGGATGAAGATTAGTCCCTCTCTTGGAAGAGTTCACTTGGCAGAAATAAAATAATAATGATAATATGACACTTAATAAGTGGCATTTATTGAGCACTTGTTACGTGTCTGGTGGCCCTGTGCTGGGCAATGTTGGAGAGTCTTGGAGGGGAGGGGAGGGAAGTGATTAGAGTAGGAAGCTGCTGAGGGGAGGTGGTAGATGTGGATATGTGTTTCTTTGTCCAAAGTACCCTAGTTCTTTGGGAAGGACCCTACAGACTTTTCTTGAAACCTAGACAGCTGCCTAGCTCCCACCCCCTGCCCCCTTAGCCATCTGGGCCAAGGCCTCTGATGTCAGGTGTCTCTTTCCCAGGCCTGCCTGTAGCACAGATGTGTAATGGCTCTGAGGGGGTGGGGTATCAGATGAGAGAGACATCAGAGTAGGCCAGGATAGACAGGGGTGTGTGTGTGTGTGTGTGTGTGTGTGTGTGTGTGTGTGTGTGAATACCCCCAAAGCATCTCATCTATTTGTACATGTTCTCAGCCACAAACATACATCTGTGAGCTCCACATGTGTCTTTCCTATGTAACTTGCCCGGGTTGTATCACTTGGTTGTATATTATGTCTACCCGGGTGCATCTTATGTCTATGGCTGCCTGCCCAATTTGTGTGTTTCCTTTTTAGCACCTGTGTGTATTGGTACTGTCTACTTGGGCAAATTCATCTATATGGGACTGTGTGTGTGTGTGCTCCTTGAATGTTTATGTGACTCCTTTATAATGCTTGTGGATGATTAATCTGTTTCTTCTGTGTGTGTCTCCTATGTATGTGTGTCTTTCTTTGCCACTGTGCTTCTGTCTCTCCTTGGTGAGTGGCTGGCTGTGGGTATGCATTCATTGTTTGATTCTTGTATGTGCCCTGACTGGACATCGAAACCACCACCTTTGGAGTATCAGGACAATGCTCTAATCAACTGAGCTACCCGGCCAGGGCACTACGGATGTTTCCTTTGGTGCCACTGTATATGTACCATCTGGTTCCCTTGTTTCTTCTTTATGCAGTTTTAGGTGTATTTCCTTTTTGCAACAATAGGAAGAGTACACTCTATATTCTGAGTTTCCTGATTGTGTGCCTGTCTATGTTCCCCACGTGTTTCTTCTCTGACTTGATATGTCAATAGTTATGTGCGTACGCTGTGTGTGCAGCTACCTGCTTGAATACAGTTGTGTGCGAGTCTGTGGCTGTGGCTTCTCTGTCTGTACAATCATGTCTGCTGTGAGTACCTCTCTCTGCCACCAGAGCTGGATATGGTCACAAGTTCACACATGAGTTCATATGCACACAGGTATCATTATACAGCCTGAATCTGGACTTTGGCCTCGAGGGCTCTCTGAATGTGGAAGTGTGTGTGTGAGACACTGGGCCTGTGTATGATGTTGTTGGCTGTGTGAAATCAGATTTATCTGTGCATTTTGTGTGTGGCTGTGAGTCTGTGGGCCATGATGTCCATGAATCTATAGTGGTTCGGTGTGAGCCTATCCCTGTGCCACTCTCTGCTTTCTGGGTGTTGTCTGAGGCTGTGGGTGACGATGTCTGTAAGACTAAGTCACTCTGTGCGGCTGTGAGTGTGTGGCTACCATGCCCTGGCTCTCCATGTGCACTCTGTGTGTATTCATATTTGTCAGCATATATTCTGTGTGTGTGGCTGTGGGTCTGCATGCAAGTTTGGATCTCTGTGGGTGATGGCAAGTCTGCCTCTATCTCCAAGCCCCTGGATGGAGCTGAGTGCGGGGGAGTCTCTCTCCTGCTGTGGGGAAGTAAACACCCCATCCCTTGCCCTCCTCCAATTGCACTTGGGGTGGGGGCATCTAGGTTAGCTTTGAACACCAGCCAGCTCCTGGCCTTTCCGGAAATTCTGTGCTCCCTGTGGGGGGTGGACAGGTGGGTGGAGGGGCCCAGGCAGAGGCCTTTTGTCCACCAGGGCCTTAAGCAGCTCAGTAGAGTAGGGCCAGGACCCCAAGTCCACCCGGTCCGACTTCCTGCTGGCGACACATGCCTGGATGGGAGTGCACAGACCCCCATATAAGACAGGCAGACAGACAGTAGAGCTCCTAGGTTAGGGTGTGGATAGGCCTCACCCAATGCATGGGCTGGGTCCCGGACTTCAGGGTGTGCCTAGTTTGCAGACAGTGTGTGTCCACCCTCCCTATCCAACCACAAATGTCTTCCCCGCCTCCCTCTGGGGACCTCCAGGGTCCTCTCTCAGCTGGGTTGCCTGTCTGAGGTCAATTTATAGTGGCCTGGCTGTGTCTGTCCATCCCTGCACTTTTTCCACTGCTGTCCCCAGGTCTGTCCATCTACCTTGTGTGCCCCTCTGCCTGAATCTGACTTTCTCTGCCTCTTGTCAACTGTCCCTGCAGGTGTCCCTCTGCCTCTTTCACTTCCTGTGTCTCCTTGTCTCTCTGGGCTGGTGTGCCTGTTTCCAACCTCTGTTTGGAGATATATCTGGCTGTGTCCACTTATCTGCCAGTTGTGTCTCCTGTTTACGTCTGGGCCTACCCCCTGTTTGTTTCTGAATCTGTCTACAGTGTCTTTCTCCCAGTGAATGCCCCTTTGTCTATCTATCACTCCCCCATACCCTGTCTATCTTTCTGTCCTCTCTGTTGTCTGTCCTTGTGCCTGCCTCTCTCTATTTGTGACTGTTTCTGTTACTATCTCTGTCTCTCCTCTCTGCATCTCTTCCCTCCATCCATCCCATCCCACTGTGTGGCTGACCCCTAAGTCAATTCTCTCTGCCTGCCTGGCCCTTTCTCTGGGTGTGGATCTACTCCCTCAATCTTTCTGTCCACTGCCCCTCCCCACAACCAAGACCCACACACACCTCAGTCTCCCTCCATGTGGGTCCAGATGAGAGGGGTTCCCGCCTCTCCTCACCCGCCCCCCCCATCCCCCGCCCAGGAAATGAAAAAATCGCGGGCAGAATGGGTGCGTTGATTGGCCACTGGGCGGGGCGGGGAGCAGTTCTAAAGAGCAGCGCGCGCGCACACTGGGGACCCGAGCTCTAGTCTGAGTCCTGCCAACTGGTGGAGCTGAAAAGAGCCCAGAGGTGAGGAGGGAGTGCTCGCCGGGGTGGGGGGCTTTGGAGACCCCAAGGCACAAATGGGGGTCCTGGGAGGGGGCTCAGGGGATCCCTGGAGACCTTTTTTAGTATTAGTGGGGAATTGAATGGGAGAGGGGTCCTTTGGTAACGTGCTCCCAAGAGGGAATTCAGGAGTGGGTAGGAGTCCTCAGAGGGTGCTCACGGCTGAGGATGGTGCTCCATAAGAGCCCTCCCCGTCCCAGGAAAGGGACTCAGGACTCGGGCGGGGGTCTCCTGGAAGCAGTTTTAGCAATGATGGGGAAGTAGAATGAGGGTTTCTGGGCTACCGTATTTGCAGGAAGTGAGTTCAGGGGTGAGAAATTCCATTCAGAAGACAGGGACTGTAGATTGGCCTGGGGATCACAGAGACACCTCCATCCCGGGAACACGTCAGGTCCTGGAAGGGGTTTCTGATGAGGTCTCAGAGACAGCTCCTCCTCAGGAGGGGAAATTAAGGCTCAGGCAAGATTCCTGAGGCACCCTGGAAGTGTCTACAGTTCCTTCTGCCAGAAGAGTGTTTAAAACTTGATAGGGGATCTAGAAAATACCTCTGGCTCCTAAAAGGGGGATTAAGGGAGGTCTCCTGGGTCACTTCTGTCCCTGGAAGGGGGCTCAGTTGGGAAATTGTCTCTGGCCTCTAGTGAGGATATTCAGAGTTATGCCAGAGAGTTTGCCAAGTCAGGGGCTGGGGTCTCCGTGCCAGTCCCCACCCCCAGCCCAGTGGACAGGTTGCATCAGCTCTGGGCTAGGCTTGGGGCCCAGGCTTGGGGCCCAGGCAGGAAGGAGGGGGTAGGAGGCATTATGAGAAGTGGGGCAGTCAGCGGACACGTGGCCGGAGTGGAGACCTGGCCATGTGGTGAGAGTAAAGCGATTTTTTTTGGGGGGGGGGTTGGTTTGAGGGAGACCTGGCAAGGAAAGAGATAGACAGCAAGAAGAGTGAGTGTGAAGTTTGGGAGGATAGGCTATCACAGCTCCAGATGGCCATCTCGTCTGCTGTGAGGTTGCTTTCTTTTTCCTCCATATTTATCGCTCCATATTTATGAGTAGCTGTGAGTATCTCTCCTCTGATGCTCTTTTCTCTCTCTCATCTCTTCCTCTCTCAGCTTCTCACTCTTTTTTAAAAATTTACCTTTTAAAATAAATTTTAAAGTTTACATTCAGTATGATTTGTGTTAGTTCCAGGTGTACATCATAGGAGTATAGCTTTGTATACTTTACAAAGTGATCTTCCTGAGATTTCAAGTACCCACCTCAGCCTTTTACTCCTCAATTCTCTCCGTTTATTTCCCTTTGTCTGTCATCCTTATGTTCCAGTTCCCCTCACCTCATCTCTTTCTATTTCTCTACCTGTCTGTCTCTAGCTGAACCCCTACCCCTTCACCTAGCTTTCCCACCTTGTAGCCCCCCAGCTCCATCTCTGACCCCCACCCCCTTTCTCTGCCCATAGGATGGAACTGCAGGACCCAAAGATGAATGGAGACCTACCTGCGGGTGCTGTGGGGTGAGTCAGGGCCTGAGGGGTCTGGGTCAGGGGTCAGGATTGCCTCTCATCAGCCCCAGTTTCTCTGCCCTCTCCAGCTACAGGCAGGAACACGAGGGCTTCCTGCCCAGCCATAATCCTGCTCCTGGGAGGAAGCCAACCGAGTTCATGGATGTGAGTGACCCTACAGGAACTGTCCCAGCTGCACTCTGCCCAGTTCATCTCCTCCCCTACTCTTCCCTCTTCCCAGTTACTCCCCTCCCCAGCTGTTTTCCTTTGGTAGCTGCTCCACCCTCTCTGGTTCCTCTCCACTTATAGATGCTCCCCTCCAAAATATCTCCTAGTTTTCCCCTTCCTGGTTCTCCTTTTCCCAGCTCCTTCCCATCTTCAATTCCTTTTATTTCCTAACTTCTTGGTTTCTCCTCTGGCCCTTCCTGAGCTTCTTCCTGTCCCAGTCACTTCCTCCCTAGTCTTTCTGGGCCCCAGAGCTGGTCTTCTTACTTGACCTCCCTACCCATGTGTTCCTGGGTCTTGCCCCTTACCCGCAGTTCGAGGGGAAGACATCATTTGGAATGTCAGTGTTCAACCTCAGCAACGCCATCATGGGCAGCGGCATCCTGGGGCTGGCCTATGCCATGGCCCACACAGGGGTCCTCTTCTTCTTGTGAGTCCTCAGCAGCCTGGGGGGCAGGGCTGTTTGGGGGCAGGTGGGAGGCCTTGGGGCCAAGTCTGAGTTGTGCCATCTGCCACAGGGCCCTGCTGCTGTGCATTGCTCTTCTGTCTTCATACTCCATCCATCTCCTGCTGACCTGTGCTGGTGTTGTAGGTGAGCCCCAGAGCTCAATCCAGACCCCTGAACCACTCCCCTGACTGAGACACCAGACTCTGGACATACCACCCTGACCCCAAACCCCACTTAAATCCCTGGACTCCAGACCCCAGACTGACCCTGGCACTCAGACCTCATCTGGACTCCCAGATCCCCAATTCCCAATCCCCAGCCCTCAGTCTGGCCATAAACCTCATTGTTCAGACCCTCCTCATCCCTAGACCAATACATTCCTCCTCTAACTCCTCCCTTCAGTCTCTAGTCCCCACAACCATGGAAGCCAGCTAGCTGTAGAACCCTGAGACCCCCCAGTCCTCAGACCCCAGCTTCCAAGCTTCCATTGCCCCAGATCTCAGACTTTACTCCCACCATGTACTCAGACCATGTGTATGTGGTCTCAGATTATGTATATAGTTTATTGGGTCCCCAGTATCCCCCACTACCCAACTCCAGCCCACCTCCTACCTTCTCCTTAGCCACAGTTCCTGACCACAGATCCCACCTCCCAGATCCCACCCCCAAGCCCAATTGTAACTAACTCTCATCCCCAGCCCCCATCAGACTCAATGACTCTAAACCCCAACTCCCCAACTCCCAGACTTTTTGGCTCCTAACCTCACCTCTGGCTTCCTGGACCACAACCTGTTCCTTCCTGTCCCCCTCCCCCCCACAGGCATCCGAGCCTATGAGCAGCTGGGACAGAGGGCACTGGGGCCTGCAGGGAAGGTGGTGGTGGCCATGGTCATCTGTCTGCACAATGTTGGGGGTAAGGACTCTGGGAAGTGGAGGGATCAGCGAGGGGTAAGAGGGTGGGGTGAGGTGGGCTTCCCCAGGCTGGGCTGGGGAAAATGGGGTAAGGGGATGAGGGAAATTCTTTTGTTTACAACTCCCCTCACCTGTACCAGCCATGTCCAGTTACCTGTTCATCATCAAATCCGAACTCCCCCTGGTTATTGGCACCTTACTGAACATGGAACCTGAGAGGTGAGTGAGCAACACCCCTTGGCTCTGGTTCACAGGCCACTGACTGCCTGTCAGGTCTGGATGCTGTCTTCAACTCTGTGTCCCAAATGTTCTACTTTGAGACTGTTCGCCACTTTGATCAGACTGTGATTCCTGTGTATTGTGATGCCAGCAGTATGTGTGACTGTTGCTCTGACTATAGGAGTCTAATAGACCATGTTGATTTCTGTGACTGTTCTGGTTGATTCCATCTGGTGGCTGAATCTGTATGTCCAGTGTACTCCCATGCTGATCATGCAACTACTCTCAGCAGATCTAAACTCTGTGGATTTTGTTTCTGTTACTGTTGTAGTGGCAGGTTCTCTGGTCAGCTGTCTGATAGCCAACTATAGCTGTGTCCTGTATACTGTAATTCCAACCATGTGTATTTGACATTTGTTTACTCTGACTTTCCATGTTCAACAGATTCTGTGTGATTCTGGGTCTATCAGGCTGGCTGAATCTGTCTCGCTATATGTGTGGTCACTGACTCCAACAGTGTGTATGTATGTGTGTGACGTATACTGTGGTGCCAACTATGTATATGTGATTTGCTCCAAATGTATGTGCCAATAGACTCCATCTCTGTTTAATTTAGTGACCATTATTCTGGTAAATTCTCTCTGGCTTTGTGTGAGTGATCCTCACCTATAACTCTGTACATGTCCTCTGTATCGTTCCAACCATGTATGCTTGATCGTTGTTCTGATTATGCATTCAAATGACTGCATTTTAAAAATTCTGGATCTATATGCTGGCTGAATCTGTTCAGTTGTTTGGATATGATGGTTGATTCTGTGTATCTTTTTAGATTTTTGGCTTGATTCTGAAACCATCCAGGTAGCTGGCAGTCTATGTACCTAGGTGTGTCTAATTATTATAATCAGCTCCCACTGTATATATGGCCAATGATGCTTTGTTGGTTTATGTCGGTGTAACTGTGTGTATGTAGGAGATGTAACATAGTAGGCACTCAATAAAATTCTTTTGAGCAAATGAGCAGTTGTTCAACTGATTCTGTATTAACTGTCTTGCCTGAGCACCTCCCTCCATTATCTACACAGATCCCAGTCTTTCTTTGAGTGTGGTTCCAATAGTGTGCCCAGCTGGCTGATTCATGTGGTCTATATTTCTGTCTTTGGTCACGTGGCCAAATCAGCCCAGCTACTTTCAGGTGTTCAACAAACCTTGAGCTGTTCAAACAACCACACGTGTGTTTCTGACTTTTTGTCTGACTCTGCATCATTGTCTGCCAGCCGGCCAGCCAGATCATCAGACTGTTGTTCTACCTGTCAGACACCAGGGTCATGGCTCACTCTGTGTCTGGAACTTTGTGTTGGATTATGTGAGTCTGACTGACTTGGGGTGTTGTTTACCCATCTGGTTGTGTATTCACTTGTGAGTCTGACAGCACAGTTTTGTCTAGCTGTGCATATGTTCTCAGATGTATCCCTCTGACAGTGTCTGGCAGATAGTCTTATAATTAGTCTGGCTGTTTCTATCAATCTTGTTGTGCCATCATTGTAACCACGTGAATGACTTCTCATAGCTGAGGTGTTGGCTCATCTCCTGATTACGGGCAGAAATCTGTCTGTCCGGCCATCTTCTATGTCTGCCTGACAATTTTCTTTGGCCGGCAACTAATCACTGTGTTTGCCTGTCTATCTAGGGGCTGGTTCTTGAATGGAAACCTTCTCATCATCATGGTTAGTGTGTTAATCATCCTGCCACTGGCCCTCATGAGACACTTGGGTAAGAGGCTTCCTGTGTTGTTCATTGGATAGTGGGGTTAGAGAAGGATAGCTAGATTGAGAGAATCCCATTTTCAAGGGCTATTGAACACTAGGGGAGAGCTTTTTTGATGTGGGTTTTTACAGATGAATAGGAGTTTGCTCTGGAGGGGAGGCTGTTCCAAGCAGAAGTAAAAGCTTATGCAAAGGTGTGGCATAATTGGGGTTCGGGAGTCTTGAAAACCAGACTAGGGGTTTAATATTTGCTTTAGGGCAAGCATGTCAAACTCGCAGCCGGCAGGCCACATGAATAAGGCATGCGGCCCACTGACCATGAGTTTGACATGCTTGCTGTAGGGGGTCCCTGGATTTCTGAGTTTCTGTGTTATTGCTTCTTGCAGGCTACCTTGGATATACCAGTGGTCTTTCTCTCACCTGCATGCTGTTTTTCCTCATTTCAGTGAGTCTGAGAGAAGGACTTGAAGAAGTGGAGAGAGTTTGGGGCATTGGGACACAGCCTTCCCTGTAACCTCATTTCCCCTTCCTTTCTTCCTCAGGTCATCTATAAGAAGTTCCATATTAGCTGTGGTGTGGGCCACAATGAGACAGCAGCAGAGAGTAAGAGCCCCCCAGTCCTTCCAAGCCAGGGACTCAACAGAAGCTGTGAGGCCCAGATGTTCACAGTGGACTCACAGGTGGGTATGCAGGCCAATAGGGCTTGCACCACACTCAGGCCCTCTGGAGTATTGGACATTGGGGTCTTCCAAGTATCTGATATGAAGAGCAGTGGTGGGGCCAGGAGTATGGAGAATAGGGGATGGAACCCTATAGGTTCTAATCTGTTGTACTTGGCCATTCCCCTAGATGTTCTACACAGTGCCCATTATGGCTTTTGCCTTTGTCTGCCACCATGAGGTGTTGCCCATCTACACGGAGCTCTGCCGGTGAGTGGACAGGCAAGTGGGCATGTGTGATGAACCAACAGGTGGGGCAATAGTTATAATGTCTGACAATCCCTACAGCAGTTCTGGAACTGTAACTTGATTGTTGATAGTAGATTATGCAAAGGGAGGGGTTTGAAGTGGTCAGGAGGTCTCGGGAGACACAGGGAAGTGACTGTTTACTGATTGGGGCTCAAGTATTTCACTCTTTTAACATCCAATACAGGTGTTAATGGACAGAGTGGGACAGCAGAGATGATCAGA